CTGGTCGTCCTCCAGGAGAGCAGGAACCTGAGGAGACATGACACAGTCGGGATGAAGATGTTACACTGACCGGTTGTGACACTCCTTTACGGGGAGGTGTAAGTGTTCTTACCGTTTGAACTCCAGAAAGATCCTTCTTCAGCCCGCTCAATGTCTGATACAGAACCTGAAACAACATCATCACCATCAAGTAATCACAGGTGGACTCCATGTTTGATAATAAAACATTCTTTGTTTTGTTTCTTACGTTGTCATGGTGACTGCTGATGGCTGACTCCTCCTCCTTGAACTTCATCAGGTCCACATCTCGCTCATAGTGACTCACCTCTGTCAGAGTCCGAGGGATGTAAGCTTTTTTGAACACCTGAGGGAGGAGGTGGAGTTATTAATGCAACCTGCTGAACCTGATGATTGTCTCTGTGGTGTTTTAGTTCCTCTAACTTCCTGTTACAGAGAATAGATCACAGGGACTGCTTTAAGTTGGTTTGAATCCTACTCATCAGACCGATCTCAGTTTGTACATGTTAATGATAAGTCCTCTATGCACACCAAAGTTAGCCATGGAGTGCCACAAGGATCAGTGCTTGGACCAATTCTCTTTACATTATATATGCTTCCTCTGGGAAATATTGAGGAAACACTCCATACAGTTTCATTGTTATGCAGATGATACTCAGCTTTATGTATCAATGAAGCCCGATGGCACCAGTCAGTTATGTCAGCTAGAAACGTGCCTTAAGGACGTTAGGACCTGGATGACCAGAAATGTTTTGCTACTTAACTCAGACAAGACTGAAGTTATTGTGCTAGGCCCTAAGAACCTCAGAGAGACTTTTTCTAATGATATGACCTTAATGACATCAGCCTGGCATCTAGCACCACTGTTAGGAATCTAGGAGTTCTATTTGATCAAGATATGTCTTTTACCTCTCACATCAGGCAAATTTCAAGAACAGCCTATTTTCACCTTCCGTATAGAATAGAATTCAAGATCCTTCTTCTCACTTACAAAGCTCTAAATTGCCAGGCACCATCTTATCATAAGGAGCTACTAGTGCTGTACTGCCCCTCGAGAACATTACGGTCCCAGAATGCAGGCCTGCTCGTGGTACCTACTGTCTCTAAATGTACTATGGGAGGTAGAGCCTTCAGCTATCAGGCCTGCTCGTGGTACCTACAGTCTCTAAATGTACTATGGGAGGTAGAGCCTTAAGTTATTAGGTCTGCTCGTGGTACCTATGGTCTCTAAATGTACTATGGGAGGTAGAGCCTTCAGTTATCAGGCCTGCTTGTGATACCTACGGTCTCCAAATGTACTATGGGAGGTAGAGCCTTCAGTTATCAGACCTGCTCGTGGTACAGTCTCTAAATGTACTATAGGAGGTAGAGCCTTCAGTTATCAGACCTGCTCGTGGTACAGTCTCTAAATGTACTATGGGAGGTAGAGCCTTCAGTTATCAGACCTGCTCGTGGTACAGTCTCTAAATGTACTATGGGAGGTAGAGCCTTCAGTTATCAGGCCTGCTCGTGGTACCTACTGTCTCTAAATGTACTATGGGAGGTAGAGCCTTCAGTTATCAGGCCTGCTCGTGGTACCTATGGTCTCTAAATGTACTATGGGAGGTAGAGCCTTCAGTTATCAGGCCTGCTCGTGGTACCTATGGTCTCTAAATGTACTATGGGAGGTAGAGTCTTCAGTTATCAGGCACCTCTCCTTTGGAATCATCTACCAGTCAGGGTCCGGGAGGCAGACACACTCTACTTTTAAGAATAGACTTTTTTCTTATGAGTAGAAATTGATTGATGTTGAATTCACCTCCTCATCAACTCGATCCTGATCTGATCTCTGCTCCGAGGTCCGCTCAGCTGCAATCACCATCGCCTAGACAACCAACGACAGACACACAATTATACAAACACAATATTTCTCTGTATGTGGTTGCCCTCAGTATCTTGTTGATCTCTGTATGTGGTTGCTCTCTTGTTGCTCTCTGTTTCAGGTTGCTCTCTTGTTGCTCTCCGTTTCTGGTTGCTCTCTTGTTGCTCTCTGTACGTGGTTGCTCTCTTGTTGCTCTCTGAATCTGGTTGCTCTCTTGATGCTCTCTGTTTCAGGTTGCTCTCTTGTTGCTCTCTGAATCTGGTTGCTCTCTTGATGCTCTCTGTTTCAGGTTGCTCTCTTGTTGCTCTCTGTTTCAGGTTGCTCTCTTGTTGCTCTCCGTTTCTGGTTGCTCTCTTGTTGCTCTCTGTACGTGGTTGCTCTCTTGTTGCTCTCCGTTTCTGGTTGCTCTCTTGTTGCTCTCTGTACGTGGTTGCTCTCTTGTTGCTCTCTGAATCTGGTTGCTCTCTTGATGCTCTCTGTTTCAGGTTGCTCTCTTGTTGCTCTCTGTACATGGTTGCTCTCTTGTTGCTCTCTGAATCTGGTTGCTCTCTTGATGCTCTCTGTATGTGGTTGCTCTCTTGTTGCTCTCTGTATGTGGTTGCTCTCTGTATCTGGTTGCTCTCTTGTTGCTCTCTGTTTCAGGTTGCTCTCTTGTTGCTCTCTGAATCTGGTTGCTCTCTTGTTGCTCTATGAATCTGGTTGCTCTCTTGTTGCTCTATGAATCTGGTTGCTCTCTTGTTGCTCTCTGTATCTGGCTGCTCTCTGTATGTGGTTGCTCTCTTGTTGCTCTCTGTATGTGGTTGCTCTCTGTATCAGGTTGTTCTCTGTATGTGGTTGCTCTCTTGTTGCTCTCTGTATGTGGTTGCTCTCTGTATCAGGTTGTTCTCTGTATGTGGTTGCTCTCTTGTTGCTCTCTGTATGTGGCTGCTCTCTTGTTGCTCTCTGTTTCTGGTTGCTCTCTGTATGTGGTTGCTCTCTGAATCTGGTTGCTCTCTTGTTGCTCTCTGTATCTGGCTGCTCTCTGTATGTGGTTGCTCTCTTGTTGCTCTCTGTATGTAGTTGCTCTCTGTATCAGGTTGTTCTCTGTATGTGGTTGCTCTCTTGTTGCTCTCTGTATGTGGCTGCTCTCTTGTTGCTCTCTGTATCTGGTTGCTCACTTGTTGCTTTCCGTATCTAGTTGCTTTCCATAAATCATTTCCTGCTCATCTCTTGTCTGTGTTTACATTCTGTCACTGTGTGTGTTTTTGAGGATGTGTTTATAAATGGGGTCACACCTTTTCCAGGTATTGGTCGATGTTACTGCAGGTGATTGAAGGGTCGGTGATGAAGTCAAACAGCTCTCTGACTGTCATCACTGCCACGCCGCGTTTCACAAAGAACTCTGGGGAAAAAAAACAACACAATCTCTATTTTTGTTTGGGAACAGGCAGCAGAAGGTTCAATGAGAGAACACCTTTGGATTCATGATCATAAATGTTCTTATAGAACCTCTAAGAACGTCACTATGACACAAATCAAATAAAGCTGCCTAGTCAGAAACAGGAAGAGGACGTGAAGATTTAAACTAAGGAAACAAACAAATGTGTCTTCAGTGGGTTCTTTAAATACCGTTCACGTTGCTGCAGTCCTTCCGGAGGAATTCCAGAGCGTGAGGATGATCGTGTTCTACCGACTGGGAAACGTCGATGATGTAAGCGTCCCCATTGTGATACCTAAACAGGTGAGAAAAAAGTTAACTACAGTTGGGAGTTTTTTTCAAGAGGTTGTGAGTTCTGGATGTGGTCTCATACAGAATGTTGAACTCGCTGAGGTCTGCATGGACTAGTCGGGCCTCCTGGAACATCTTCCTCATGTTCTGTAGAACCTGCAGGTAGAGCTCACGAGCCTTCGAGTCTGACAGCGATGCGTTCTTCAGCAGAGGAGCAGGCCTGACCAATCGAACCCAGAGACAACGATCAAGAATGATCAATACCTGATCCATGAGTCATTTTTAATTTCTATGATCAATCACTCTGATTGGTTCTTACATGTTGTCTTTTCCAATGAAGCTCATTAGCAGAACGTGACTCCTCAGAAGAAGAGGTTCTGGACTTGGGATTCCTGCTGTCTGCAGCCTGAAACATGAGACACAATCAGGTTCTACTGGGTTCTTTGGAAAATACTATCAGGTTCTACTGGTTTCTAAAGAAAATACCATCAGGTTCTACTGGTTTCTATAGAAAATACCATCAGGTTCTACTGAGTTCTAAAGAAAATACCATCAGGTTCTACTGGGTTCTTTGGAAAATACCATCAGGTTCTACTGAGTTCTAAAGAAAATAACATCAGGTTCTACTGGGTTCTTTGGAAAATACCATCAGGTTCTACTGAGTTCTAAAGAAAATAACATCAGGTTCTACTGGGTTCTTTGGAAAATGCTATCAGGTTTTACTGGGTTCTTTGGAAAACACAATCAGGTTCTACTGGGTTCTTTGGAAAACACAATCAGGTTCTACTGGGTTCTAAAGAAAATACCATCAGGTTCTACTTAGTTCCAAAGAACCAACCCATCAGTAACAGAGACTGTATTCAGTCTCATCTATCAAAAATACCGGTTCTTTTTCGTTCCATAAGTTTATTAGAACACAGGAGAACGTCACTCGTTTCATAATGAAGAGATTTAACGGTTCTCTATCAGTTTGAAGAGGGTTCTCCCCATCAGTCCAATGAAGTTCCACTAGGTTCCACTGTTAAGTTAAACTGGTTCTGTTTGTTTGTTTTAATTTGTCAGTTTGTTCTATTTGTCAGAGGGCAGGTTCTGACCTGATGAGGTTCCTCATCTCCTTCTCGGCCCAGGTTCTCACCATCTTCCTGGGGTTTCCTTTACAGTAACCGTGACGGAACCTGCAGAGCAACAGAAGAACTCAGAATATGTTACTCTGATGATGGTTGATCAGAGTAGTGACAGCGAATGTTAGCAGGGGGCAGGTACTGACATGCTAGCTATTGTTAGCATGGGGCAAGTACTGACATGCTAGCTGATATTCAGATTCAGATTCAGAAAACTTAATTTATCCCAGAAGGGCAATTCCGTTTCACAACCTACCGAGCCATTGAAAAACGCAAAGACAACATAAAAGGAAACAAACACATCACCACAGCATTCAAACAGTTACATTCACATGTCAGTAACAACAGTTCAACAGACGAATAGGTCGTCAAGTGGGAAAGCCAACGCTATCAATCTACAATTTCCTAATACGATGACAGACTTGTTCAGCATTCAACAGACTGATAGCTGAAGGGATAAAAGAGTTGGAGTATCTATTTGTCCTCCTTGGAGGGGCAAGATAGCGCCGTCCAGAGGGCATTAAAGAAAACTCAGATGAGACAACATGTTCAGGTTGGTTTATGATCCCTTTGGCTTTCTGGACCACACGCTCCTTCCACAGGGAGCTCAAGTCTTTCAGCTGGACTCCAATAATCTTAGAGCAGACTTTTACGATGTGGTTCAAACTGTTCTTGTCCTTCACAGACAACCCATTGAACCAACAGATAAAAGAAAATGTTAAAAGACTTTCGATAAAAGAATGATAAAAGCTACATAAAATGCTTTGTGAAACACTAAAAGAGTTCAGCCTCTGCATCAAATGAATTCTCTGTTGGTCTTTTCACGATTGACTCTGTGTTTTCAGAAAACTTAAATTCAGAGTCGAACACTGTCCCAAGGTATTTATATGAGTCCACTATTTCAACCTCCCCACCGTGGATAATGCTAGATTCAGGGTGACAACAGTTCTTCCTAAAATTTATGACTAATTCCTTGGTTTTCAGGACATTAAGATCCAGGAAGTTGTCATCTACAATTCTACAATTCACTTAGCAGACGCTTTTATCCAAAGCGACGTACATCAGAGAGTAAGTACAACACTAATCCATTCATACACCGCCATGAAGCAGTGGGAGCAATGCAGGGTTAAGTGTCTTGCCCAAGGACACATCGGACATGTTGCTCAGCTGGGGATCAAACCCTTGACCTTCCGCTTGAGAGGCAACGACTTTACCAACTGAGCCACAGCTGTCCGCCCACTTAACAAAAGTTGGTAGAGCACCGCCATGGCCTGATTCTGAGCCCTGAAGGAGGGACAGCAGAACAGTGTCATCTGAGAACTTTACCAGATAACTGCTCTCTTGTGATGTTCTGCAGCTATCTGTGTACATGATAAAAAGCAGGGGGGACAGGACACAGCCCTGAGGGGAACCAGTGTTTGACATAATTATTTTCGACATTTGACCATTCATGAAAACCTGCTGAACTCTGTCTGTTAAAAAGTTTAAGAGCAACATTAAAATCTGACCAGGAAGTTTAAAGTGAGAGGATAGTCTCTCAATTAAAAAATGAGGCTACATTTTATTAAAAGCTGAGGAAAAGTCAGCGAATAAAAGTCTGGCATGGGATTTAGGTTTTTCCAGGTGTTTGTACACAGTGTCTAAAATGAAAACCTTGGCGTCATCCACACCTTTGCCAGCTTGATAAGCAAACTGAAGTGGATCAAGTTGACCATTTATTAATGAGACAACTTCTGCTTTTAGGATTTTCTCAAATGTTTTCATAACAAGTGAAGTAAGAGCGACTGGTCTAAAATCATTCAAATCCTTAGGTTTAGCTGCCTTAGGCACAGGGATAATTGTGGATGTTTTCCAGATGGGGGGTATCACTCAGCGCACATCTGAAAAAGTTTTGTGAATATGTCACTGAGTTGGTCAGCACAGTGACGCAATGTGCGCCCACAGATGGCGTCAGGGCCAGCAGCTTTTTTTGTATTAACTCCCTTCAGTAGAGCTGTGACAGTTCCCTGAGAGATCACAAAGACATTCTGAAGAACAAGAGATTCTCTTACTATTGAAATATCATCCAAGAAATCAGACCTTTCCCAGCGAGAAAGAAATTAATTAAAAACATCTGCCAAGTCAGCATCATCCACACCATGTACACAGATAGGAGGCTTAGTCCCACAGGTGGACTGGTTAATTGATGCCATGGATTTTATTCCTTTCCAGGCTGCTCTGAGGTCACCACCACTGAACTGATCCTCAATTTGATTTTTATACTTAAGTTTTGCCTTCCTTATTTCCACCCTGACTTCTCTGGAGACAGCCTTTAACTCCAGGGGGTCAGCAGAGTAGAAAATCCTTTTCTTTTTATTGATAACTGATTTCAGTTCTTTTGTTACCCAGGGTTTATTATCCGGGTAAGTCAACACCTTTTTAGTTGGGATCAAGGAATCCACACAGAAGGTGATGTAAGACGAGACGGTGTCAGAAGGTTCATTAATGTCATCACAAACATCATAAGATGTAGATGTAGAGTAGTGGATGACCAAGATGGCGGCGCGAGCGCATCGCGAGGCCCAGCGTCTCTCTCAGATTTGCAGTTTTGCAGTAATTTTATTGTTAATTTCGGGTCTGTTCGCACGGAACAGCCTCGCCTTAACATCCTACACCCGACAGGAACTTTTGGATATCGGAATACACCTCCCTGACGATTTAATCAACAATCTTCGACTCATCCCTGAGATCGCCAAAACACCCGAGGCTACGCACTCTACCCGGCCGGGCGGAAGTGCTCGCAGGCGGCGTCGAGACCGTAAACAAAGGCGGGGGAAGCGCGGAGGTATAAGGGCTAAGCTAAAGCTAACACCGCACCGTCTCCCGTTACCCAGCATTTTCCTCGCTAATGTGCGGTCTTTGGTGAACAAAATGGACGAGTTACGACTTCGCATCATCCACAGCAAGAGAATTATGGACTGTAATGTCATGATATTCACGGAAACATGGCTAAACAACGGAGTACCGGACGATGCTATCAAGCTAGCCGGTCGCCACACACACCGAGCAGACAGAATAGCAGAGGACTCCGGTAAGACCAGAGGAGGAGGGCTGTGCATTTATATTAACAAAGCTTGGTGCACAGACTCTGTCATTATTGGGAGACACTGCTCAGCTAACATTGAGTTTCTCATGGTTAAATGTAGACCTTTCTATCAGCCAAGGGAGCTCAGCTCCACTATTGTAACTGCAGCCTACATCCCCCCTGATGCCGATGCTAAAGCTGCTATGAAGGAACTTTACACCGCCATCAGTAAACAACAGACTGCTCACCCGGAGGCTGCATTTATAGTTGCAGGTGATTTTAATCACTCAAACTTAAAGACAGTGCTCCCTAAATTTCACCAGCATGTTTCCTGCAATACAAGAGGAAACAAAACTCTGGACCATGTTTACACAAACATCGCAGGAGCCTACACCACGACCCCCCTCCCCCACCTGGGACAGTCAGACCACCTTTCTTTGTTCCTCATCCCCAAGTACTCCCCACTCATCCAACGTGTGAAGCCATCAGTAACAACGATTAAAGTGTGGCCAGCGGGGACAGACTCTGTACTTCAGGACAAGTTCCATCACACAGACTGGAGTATGTTTGCTTCTCAGGCTACCTTGGGCTCTCACACAGACATTGACACCTACACTTCTTCTGTGCTGGATTATATCAACACCACCATCGACAGTGTTACAACATGGAAGCAGATCACCACGTACCCAAATCAGAAGCCATGGATGAACAAGGAGGTGCGTCTCCTGCTGAAGGCCCGCAACACCGCCTTCAGATCAGATGATGCAATGGCCTACAGCGTATCCAGGGCAAACCTGAGGAGGGGCATCATCAAGGCCAAGCACTGCTACAAGCTGAAGGTAGAGGAACACTTCTCCAACTCCGACCCCAGACGCATGTGGCAGGGCATCCAGGCCATCAGTGACTATAAACCCAGAAACTCCACCCCGATAACCACAGATGTCTCCTTCCTGAACGAGCTAAATCACTTTTATGCTCGTTTCGATAGAGACAACAGGAGACGCAGACCACGACCAGACCTCCTGCAGACAACCAGCCCCTCTCACTCACCTCCACAGACGTCCACGCTGCACTGAGCCGGATCAACGCTCGAAAGGCTGCTGGTCCAGACGGCACCCCGGGCGCGTGCTTAGGGCATGTGCGGAGCAGCTCACTGGGGTTTTTACGGACATCTTCAACCTGTCCCTCGCCCAAGCAGCTGTGCCAGCATGCTTCAAAGCCACCTCCATTGTCCCAGTGCCGAAACACTCCAGCCCGACAGGCCTGAACGACTACCGCCCTGTGGCACTCACACCCATCATAATGAAGTGCTTTGAGCGACTGGTCCTAGCACACCTGAAAAACTGCCTCCCACCCACACTGGACCCATACCAGTTTGCCTACCGCAGCAATAGGAGTACAGAGGATGCAGTCTCCACTGCGCTGCACTCTGTGCTCACTCATCTGGACAATAACAACACATACGCACGAATGCTGTTTGTTGATTTTAGCTCAGCATTCAACTCTGTCATCCCCTCCAAGTTGAACACTAAACTCGGAGACCTGGGCTTCAACTCCTCCCTCCGTCACTGGATAATGGACTTTCTGACCAACAGACCCCAGTATGTTAGGTCAGGACACACCTGCTCCACCACCATCACACTCAACACAGGCGTACCACAGGGCTGTGTGCTGAGCCCATTCCTCTACTCCCTCTTCACCCACGACTGCAGACCTGTACATGGATCCAACACCATCATCAAGTTTGCGGACGATACAGCGGTGATTGGCCTCATCAGCAACAACGATGACACGGCCTACAGGGAGGAGGTACAGCATCTGGCCGCCTGGTGTGCTGACAACAACCTGCTCCTCAACACCAGCAAGACGAAGGAGATCATCGTGGACTTCAGGAGAGAAAGAGGAAGCACGCACAACCCCATTCACATCAACGGGATGGCTGTTGAACGTGTCTCCAGCTTCAAGTTCCTGGGGACCCACATCACAGAGGACCTCTCCTGGTCCACTAACACCTCCAGTCTGGTTAAGAAGGCTCATCAACGCCTCTTTTTCCTGAGGACACTGAAGAGACACCACCTGTCTTCAGCTGTACTGATGAACTTCTACCGCTGTGTGATCGAGAGCATCCTGACCAGCAGTGTCTCAGTCTGGTACGGAAACTGCTCTGTCGCAGACCGTAAGGCGCTACAGCGGGTGGTAAAAACCGCCCAGCGCATCACAAGGTGTCCACTTCCTGCCATTGAGGATGTCCAAAGAAACGCTGTCTGCGGCGAGCTCATGGCATCCTTAAAGACTCCTCCCACCCTGCCCACAGACTGTTTACCCTCCTGCCCTCCGGCAGGCGCTTCAGAAGCCTCCGGACCAGAACCAGCAGACTGAGGAACAGCTTTTTCCCCAGAGCTGTTTCTCTACTGAACTCTACCCCCGAACTCTGAACTCTGTCTCTCTCTCTCTCTCCCTCTCTCTCTCCGCACCCTGCTGACCCCCTTTCCCCTCCATATCACCTCACCCCGAACTCTGTATCTGTCTCTCTCTCTCTCTCTCCCTCTCTCTCTCCGCACCCTGCTGACCCCCCTTTCCCCTCCATATCACCTCACACCCATCATCCCCCACCACTCCTCCTGGTCACACACACACATCTCTCATCCATCTGTATTATTGTATTATAGTATGTTCATATTCTATCTGTAAACTGTATACATGCTCATGCATCTTATCTGTATATTATTAGTATAGCATGCTCACTGCACTTAATCTGTATAATTAGTATAGCATGCTCACTGCACTTAATCTGTATATTATTAGTATAGCATGCTCACTGCATTAATCTGTATATTATTAGTATAGCATGCTCACTGCATCTTAATCTGTATATTATTAGTATAGCATGCTCACTGCATCTTAATCTGTATATTATAATCCTAAGAACACACTTATTTTGTAGCATTACTTATTTATAGCATTTATTTATATTTATTGCATCCCATTAATCCAGCCATCCAGATATACCTAATAATTCACTTTTTTTGGCTACATCTGTAAATTTTGTAATTACTGTACATAGCACATAGCACAGACTATTGCACTTTCTGCTTATTTGCACTTCTGGTGAGATGCCAAACCTCATTTCGTTACTCTATACTTGTATATGTGTAATGACAATAAAGTTGAATCTCATCTCATCTCATCTCATAAAAACATTGCCAGTCTGTACATTCAAAACAGGACTGGAGAGATGAGATGCTGGCCTCTGACCAGATTTTTACAGTCCTCTCCTTGCACTCCAGGCGCCTAAAACAAGGTTTGTACGTGGGCATATGGTAGACACTGTTATGATAGGAAGCACCCAAAGAAGGCAGAGGAAAAGATTTGTAAGCTCCACTTACAGAACCATAACAGAGATCAAGTGAGGTTTCCTTTTGTGTTGTAGCGCAAGTCACATATTGTTCGTATGTCCTCAATGTTTTATTTAACTTGCAATGATTAAAATCCCCCAGAATAAACTTGGGAGCATCTGGGCAGATAGAGTCGAGTTTGTGCATGACGTCAGCGATCAGTTGGGCAGCAGCTGACGCGTTGGCTCGAGGGTGAATGTACACTAACGTGTAAAACAGCTGCTGAAGTTCACGAGGCAGGTAAAATGGGCGGAGAGAAATTGTCAGTAACTCCACGTCTGGGGTACAAAGCGACTCTCTGACCACCACTGTTTTACAGTACCTTCAGTTAACGTAGAAACACACGCCTCCTCCGCGACTTTTACCCGTAATCCCCGGGGATGGGATTCCAAACCCAGTTAATTCCAGATCCGAATCTAGGTCCGATTTACTCAGCCATGTTTCAGTGAAAGCAAGAACACAAGTGTCTTTTATTTCCCGCTTAAATTTGGCATACGCCTCCAGTTCATCTATTTTGTTCCGGATGGACTGCACGTTTGACAGCAGGACTGTGGGAAGTGGAGGAAGTTTGTGGCGGTTGTCAAACCGCAGATTCTTTAGTCTATGGCGAATTCCACCTCTCCTTCCTCTTTTCCAGACACCAGACGTCTTAACCAGCCTGAGAAGCTCCGTCGGGATGTTTGTCGGCACATCGCCGACTGATGAGCCCCTCAAGGAGAGGAGAAGCTCCCGACTGAGAGTGACCCTCCCTGACACGCCATGTCCGTCCGCAGCGTGACAGGAGCACAACTTAGCAAGAAGCGCTGTCACGCATAAGAGTGCCAAAAGCTCTGCAAATGTTACCATAGTCCGCATCCCCGAAGTACTGACAGATCTCCACACACACAAGACGTTAGTAAACTCTGAAAAATTAGCTGAAAAACAACTAAAAACACCAAACAACAGGTGGACAGGTAGGCTGCTGGGTCGCACACAGTGGAGCGCCCCAAGAGGTAATATTAGCAACGAGCAGGTACTGACATGCCAGCTAATGTTAGCAGGGGGCAGGTACTCACCTGAACTCTCCACTAACATATTTGTCCCGATCTTTGAACAGCAGGATGGAGGTTTTGTAGATCTTGATGGCTCGACTTTCTCCTGCCGACGTACTGCTGTGATAAACGTTAGCCTGAAACAAGTAGTAGTAGTAAAGTAGTAAGTAGTAGTAGTAAACACAAACATCAAACAGAACTACACAAACAAAAACAGTCAATGTTTACAGTCTGAACTATCATCTTTAGACTCAGAATGCAGGCCTGTCCATGGTACCTACAGTCTCTAAATGTACTACGGGAGGTAGAGCCTTCAGTTATCAGACCTGCTCGTGGTACCTACGGTCTCTAAATGTACTATGGGAGGTAGAGCCTTCAGTTATCAGGCCTGCTCGTGGTACCTACGGTCTCTAAATGTACTATGGGAGGTAGAGCCTTCAGTTATCAGGCCTGCTCGTGGTACCTACGGTCTCTAAATGTACTATGGGAGGTAGAGCCTTCAGTTATCAGGCCTGCTCGTGGTACAGTCTCTAAATGTACTATGGGAGGTAGAGCCTTCAGTTATCAGGCCTGCTCGTGGTACAGTCTCTAAATGTACTATGGGAGGTAGAGCCTTCAGTTATCAGGCCTGCTCGTGGTACAGTCTCTAAATGTACTATGGGAGGTAGAGCCTTCAGTTATCAGGCCTGCTCGTGGTACCTATGGTCTCTAAATGTACTATGGGAGGTAGAGCCTTCAGTTATCAGGCCTGCTCGTGGTACTACGGTCTCTAAATGTACTATGGGAGGTAGAGCCTTCAGTTATCAGGCCTGCTCGTGGTACAGTCTCTAAATGTACTATGGGAGGTAGAGCCTTCAGTTATCAGACCTGCTCGTGGTACCTACGGTCTCTAAATGTACTATGGGAGGTAGAGCCTTCAGTTATCAGGCCTGCTCGTGGTACCTACGGTCTCTAAATGTACTATGGGAGGTAGAGCCTTCAGTTATCAGGCCTGCTCGTGGTACCTACGGTCTCTAATGTACTATGGGAGGTAGAGCCTTCAGTTATCAGGCCTGCTCGTGGTACCTACGGTCTCTAAATGTACTATGGGAGGTAGAGCCTTCAGTTATCAGGCCTGCTCGTGGTACCTACGGTCTCTAAATGTACTATGGGAGGTAGAGCCTTCAGTTATCAGGCCTGCTCGTGGTACCTACGGTCTCTAAATGTACTATGGGAGGTAGAGCCTTCCTTCAGTTATCAGGCCCCTCTCTTCAGGGTCTGAGAGGCAGACACACACTGTACCTTTAAGAGTAGTTTAAAACATTCCTTTTTGTATGTGTATGAAACATTTATTGATTGGTTCTGACCTCCTTCCCGGTGCTGATGCAGCCATTGATTTCGCTGATGATTCCTCGACTCAGCATCTTGAAGAGAATCATTCGAGTGCGTGGATCTAAAACCTGCAGAAGAAGAAAGACGATCGCCTGAATCAAAGAATCAATCATCGACCAATAACTCATGAAACACATGTTAATCATTTAATGATCACATGATTGATCAGGTGATAAATATATACTTCTTTGTGTTTTATTTTCTACACCCTGCTGTTCACTTCCTGTAAGGCTCTTTCTAAATAAAAGCATTTTAATGCTCACCTGTTCCACTGTGGCTCGATCTGATTTGTCCTTCACTCTGTACCTGCAGAGAGCAGCCAATCAGAGCGTTAGAAACATGTCAGCTGACCTGTGGAATAGCTCGGAAGTGAGTTCATACGTACGTGTCGGAATCTTTCTGTTTCTGCATCGTCGTCACTTTATTAATCACTGAGTCAGCATAATTCAGCTTATCTGAAACAACAACCAATCAATACGCTCGGTTATCAGAAGAAACACCAGCCCATCGTTCTGTCAAACACACCTGCGAGCAGCTCTGTGTGTGTGTGTGTGTGAGCAGCTGTGTGTGTGTGTGTGTGTGTGTACGTCTGAGCAGCTCTGTGTTGTGTATGCGTGAGCAGCTCTGTGTGTGTGTGTGTGTGTTGTGTGTGTGTGTTGTGTGTGTGTGAGCAGCTCTGTGTGTATGTGTGTGTGTGTGTGTGTGTGAGAGCAGCTCTGTGTGCATGTGTGTGTGTGTGTGTGTGAGAGCAGCTGTGTGTGTGTGTATGTCTGAGCAGCTGTGTGTGTGTGTGTGTGAGCAGCTGTGTGTGTGTGTATGTCTGAGCAGCTCTGTGTGTGTATGTGTGAGCAGCTCTGTGTGTGTGTGTGTGTGTGTGTGAGAGCAGCTCTGTGTGTGTGTGAGCAGCTCTGTGTGTGTGTGTGTGTGAGCAGCTCTGTGTGTGTGTGTGTGTGTGTGTGAGCAGCTGTGTGTGTGTGTGTGTGTGTGTGTGTGTGTGAGAGCAGCTCTGTGTGGTGTGTATGTCTGAGCAGCTGTGTGTGTGTGGTGTGTGAGCAGCTGTGTGTGTGTGTGTGTGAGCAGCTGTGTGTGTGTGTATGTGTGAGCAGCTCTGTGTGTGTGTGTGTGTGTTGTGAGAGCAGCTCTGTGTGTGTGTGTGTGTGTGTGAGCAGCTCTGTGTGTGTGTGTGTGTGAGCAGCTCTGTGTGTGTGTGTGTGTGTGTGTGAGCAGCTGTGTGTGTGTGTGTGTGTGAGCAGCTGTGTGTGTGTGTGTGTGTTTGTGTGTACGTCTGAGCAGCTCTGTGTGTGTATGCGTGAGCAGCTGTGTGTGTGTGTGTGTGTGTGTGTGTGTGAGCAGCTCTGTGTGTATGTGTGTGTGTGTTGTGAGAGCAGCTCTGTGTGTATGTGTGTGTGTATGTCGAGCAGCTGTGTGTGTGTGTGTGTGTGAGCAGCTGTGTGTGTGTGTATGTCTGAGCAGCTCTGTGTGTGTATGTGTGAGCAGCTCTGTGTGTGTGTGTGTGTGTGTGTGTGAGAGCAGCTCTGTGTGTGTGTGTGAGAGCAGCTCTGTGTGTGTGTGTGTGTGAGCAGCTCTGTGTGTGTGAGCAGCTCTGTGTGTGTGTGTGTGTGTGTGGTGTGTGTGTGTGTGTGTGTGTGTGTGTTACCAGGTTGATCTTGTGTTCATACTTCCTCAGAGCTTTATCAGACGGAGTGGACGGCAGCATCTTATTGGAGGGATTCTGTCTGTTGGACTGACCAATAAGAAGAGAGATCATGAGTCAGACAGACCTTTAAGTGTGGATGTGAGGACACATCAAAGTCCTGAGACCATTATACCAACGACAATCACAACATCTACGACAACAAGTCAACAACAACTACGACAACAAGATGACAACAACTACGACAACAAGACGACAACAACTACGACAATAAGACGGCAACAACTACGACAATAAGACGGCAACAACTACGACAACAAGACGACAACAACTACGACAGTAAGACGACAACAACTACGACAACACAACAACTACGACAACAAGACGACAACAACTACGACGACAAGACAACAACAACTACGACAACACAACAACTACGACAACAAGACGACAACAACTACGACAATAAGACGACAACAACTACAACAACAATAAGACAACAACAAGACAACAACAACTACGACAACACAACAACTACGACAACAAGACGACAACAACTACGACAATAAGACGACAACAACTACAACAACAAGACAACAACAAGACAACAACAACTACGACAACACAACAACTATGACAACAAGACAACACAACAACTACGACAACTACGACAACACAATAACAAGACAACAAGACAACACAACTACTACGACAACAACTACGATAACACAACAACTACGACAATAAGACGATAACAACTACAACAACAAGACGACAACAACTATGACAACAACTACGACAATAAGATGACAACAACTACAACAACAACAAGACAACAACAACTACGACAACAAAACAACAACTACGACAACAAGACAACAAAACAACTACGACAATAAGACGACAACAACTACGACAATATGACAACAACAACTACGACAACAAGATGACAACTACGACAACAACTACGACAATAAGACAACAACAACTACGACAAAACAACAACTATGACAACAAGAGAACACAACAACTACGACAACAAGACGACAACAACAAGACAACAAGACGACAACAACAAGACAACAAGACAACACAACTACTACGACAACACAACAATTACAACAATAAGACGACAACAACTACGACGACAAGACAACAACAACTACGACAACAAGACAACACAACAACTACGACAATAAGACGACAACAACTACGACAACAAGATGACAACAACTATGACAATAAGACGACAACAACTACGACAAAACAACAACTATGACAACAAGAGAACACAACAACTAAGACAATAAGACGACAACAACTACGACAACAAGACGACAACAACAAGACGACAACAACTACGACATCAAGACAACACAACAACTACGACAATAAGACGACAACAACTATGACAACAACTACGACGACAAGACAACAACAACTACGACAACAAGACAACACAACAACTACGACAACAAGATGACAACAACTATGACAATAAGACGACAACAACTACGACAACAACTACGACAATAAGACGACAACACTACGACAAAACAACAAGACAACAAGACAACACAACAACTATGACAACAAGAGAACACAACAACTAAGACAATAAGACGACAACAACTACGACAACAAGAAGACGACAACAACTACGACATCAAGACAACACAACAACTACGACAATAAGACGGCAACAACTACGACAACAAGACAACAACAACTATAACAACACAACAACTACAACAACAACTACGACAACACAACAACTAAGACAATAAGACGACAACAACTACAACAACAAGATAACAACTACGACAACAAGACAACACAACAACTACGACAATAAGACGACAACAACTATGACAACACAACTACGACAACACAACAACTACGACAACTACAACAACAAGACAACACAACAACTAAGACAATAAGACGACAACAACTACGACAACACAACAACTATGACAATAAGACGACAACAACTACGACAACAAGACAACAACAACTACGACAACACAACAACTACGACAACAACTACGACAATAAGACGACAACAACTACGACAACACAACAACTAAGACAACAACTACGACAACAACTACGACAACACAACAACTATGATAATAAGACGACAACAACTACGACAACAAGACGACAACAACTACGACAACACAACAACTATGATAATAAGACGACAACAACTACGACAACAAGACAACAACTACTACAAGACAACAACTACAACAACAAGACAATACAACTACTACGACAACAACTACGACAACACAACAACTACGACAATAAGACGACAACAACTACGACAACTACAACAACACAACAACTAAGACAATAAGACGACAACAACTACAACAACAACTACGACAACACAACAACTACAACAATGAGACGACAACAACTACGACAACACAACTACTACGACAACACAAGAACTACGACAACAAGACAACACAAGAACTACGACAATAAGACGACAACAACTACGACAACAAGACAAAGTCAAAGTCAACTTTATTGTCAATTTCAAAATATGCCAGGCATACAGTGGAATCAAAAATTCGTTTGTCTCCGTCCCGCGGTGCAATACAACCAATATTGACAACAAGACAACCCAACAATTACGACAATAAGACGACAACAACTATGACAACAACTACGACGACAAGACAACAACAACTACGACAACAAGACAACAACTACGACAACAAGATGACAACAACTATGACAATAAGACGACAACAACTACGACAATAAGACGACAACAACTACGACAAAACAACAAGACAACACAACAACTACGACAAGAAGACGACAACAACTACGACAACAAGATGACAACAACTATGACAATAAGACGACAACAACTACGACAACAACTATGACAACAACTACGACATCAAGACAACACAACAACTACGACAACAAGACGACAACAACTACGACAACAAGACGACAACAACTACGACAATACGACGACAACAATTACAACAATAAGACAACAACAACTACGACAACAAGACAACAACAACAAGACAACAATAGAACAACAACTACGACAACAATAGAACAACAACTACGACAACAACAACAACAAGACAACAACAGCTACAACAACAAGACAACAACAACAAGACAACACAACAACTACGACAATAAGACGACAACAACTACGACAATACGACGACAACAACTACAACAATAAGACAACAACAACTACGACAACAAGACAACAACAACAAGACAACAATAGAACAACAACTACGACAACAACAAGACAATAAGACGACAACAACAAGACGACAACAAGACGACAACAACTACGACAATAAGACAACAACAACTACGACAACACAACAACTACAACAACAACAAGACGACAACAACTACGACAACAAGATAACAACTACGACAACAAGACAACACAACAACTACGACAATAAGACGACAACAACTACGACAATAAGACGACAACAACTACGACAATAAGACGACAACAACTACGACAACACAACAACTACGACAACAACTAAGACAATAAGACGACAACAACTACGACAACACAACAACTATGACAATAAGACGACAACAACTACGACAACATAACAACTATGACAATAAGACGACAACAACTACGACAACTACAACAACTACGACAACAAGAACAACAACTACGACAACACAACAACAAGACAACAACAAGACAACACAACAACTACGACAACAAGACGACACAACACCTAAGACAATAAGACGACAACAACTAAGACAACAAGACGACAACAACTACGACAATACAACAACTATGACAATAAGACGACAACAACTACGACAACAAGACAACAACTACTACGACAACACAACAACTACGACAAGACAACACAACAACTATGACAACACAACAACAAGACAACAAGACAATACAACTACTACGACAACAACTACGACAACATAACAACTACGACAATAAGACGACAACAACTATGACAATAAGACGACAACAACTACTACAACACAACAACTACGACAACACAACAACTACGACAACACAACAACTACGACAACAAGACGACAACAAGACAACACAACAACTAAGACAATAAGATGACAACAACTACAACAATGAGACGACAACAACTACGACAACACAACTACTACGACAACACAACAACTACGACAACAAGACGACAACAACTACGACAACAAGACAACACAAGAACTACGACAATAAGACGACAACAACTACGACAACAAGAGAACACAAGAACTACGACAATAAGACGACAACAACTACGACAACAAGACAACACAACAACTACGACAACACAACAACTAAGACAATAAGACGAAAACAACTACAACAACAACTACGACAACACAACAACTACGACAACACAACAACTACGACAACAAGACGACAACAAGACAACACAACAACTAAGACAATAAGATGACAACAACTACGACAACACAACTACTACGACAACACAACAACTACGACAACAAGACGACAACAACTACGACAACAAGACAACACAAGAACTACGACAATAAGACGACAACAAGAGAACACAAGAACTACGACAATAAGACGACAACAACTACGACAACAAGACAACACAACAACTACGACAACACAACAACTAAGACAATAAGACGAAAACAACTACAACAACAACTACGACAACACAACAACTACGACAACACAACAACTACGACAACAAGACGACAACAAGACAACACAACAACTAAGACAATAAGATGACAACAACTACGACAACACAACTACTACGACAACACAACAACAACACAACAACTACGACAACAAGACGACAACAACTACGACAACAAGACAAAGTCAAAGTCAACTTTATTGTCAATTTTAAAATATGCCAGGCATACAGTGGAATCGAAAAAATTTGTTTGTCTCCGTCCCGCGGTGCAATACAACCAAAATAAGGTAAAATAAGATAAGGTAAAAAATAGATAAATAAAATGAGGTAAAAATAAGATGAATAATATTTACAGTAATGAATGCTAAATTGTGCAAAAGGTACAAAATGGTAAATTAAATTAATTTAATTTAAAGAAAAAGTGAACTTGTGCAATGTGCACTAAACTGAGTGTACTTTTGAGATGTTAGCTTCAGAGTTCTTGGTGGTAAACGGGAGGGGGTTTCAACGTCCAGTGTTCGTGGGGGCAGAGGGGAGGGAAGGAAGAGAGGGGAGAGAGTTAAGCTTCCTGACAGCTTGGTGGAAGAAGCTGTTTCCCAGTCTGGTGGAGCCGGCCCGCAGGCTGCGGTACCGTCTCCCCGATGGCAGGAGGCTGAAGAGGCTGTGGGAGGGGTGGGTGGGGTCACACACAATGCTGGTTGCTTTGCGGGTGAGGCGGGTACCGTAGAGGTCCCGAAGAGAGGGGAGTGGGACACCGATAATCCGTTCAGCAGCCTTCACTGTGCGCTGCAGGGTTTTGCGGTTGGCAGCAGTGCAGCTCCCAAACCACATGATGCAGCTGGTCAGGATGCTCTCGATGGTGCCTCTGTAGAAGGAGCACATGATGGATGGGGGGGCTCGTGCTCTCTTCAGCTTGCGGAGGAAGTAGAGGCGCTGCTGGGACTTCTTGGCCAGTGATGTGGTGTTGGTTGTCCAGGAGAGATCCTCACTGATGTGAACCCCCAGGAACTTGGTGCTGCTCACTCTCTCCACAGCAGCACCGTCGATGGTCAGTGGGGGTTTAGGAGTGGGGACTCTCCAGAAGTCGACAACAACCTCCTTGGTCTTGTCGACAACAACCTCCTTGGTCTTGTCGACGTTCAGTAAGAGGTTGTTGTCTCTGCACCATGTGGCCAGTTGGCTGACCTCCATCCTGTAGTGCGTCTCATCGTTGTTGGAGATGAGACCAACCACTGTTCTGTCGTCCGCGAACTCCACAATGTGGTTGCTGCTGAAGGATGGAGCGCAGTCGTGGGTCAGCAGCGTGAAGAGCAGGGGGCTGAGCACACAACCCTGGGGGGCCCCAGTGCTCATGACGGTGGTTTTTGATGTGCTGCCACCGACCCGCACTGTCTGAGGCCTCTTGCTGAGGAAGTCCAGCAGCCAGTTGCACAGGGAAGTGCTGAGCCCCAGCTGGTCCAGTTTGCTGATCAGCTGCTGAGGGATGATGGTGTTGAATGCTGAACTAAAGTCTATGAACAGCATTCTGACGTATGAGTTTTTGGTGTCCAGGTGGGTGAGGGCTGGGTGAAGAGCAGAACAGATGGCATCCTCGGTGGATCTGTTACCTCGGTATGCAAACTGGTAGGGGTCCAGGGTGGCGGGGAGGGTGGATTTGATGTGGGCCATGACTAACCTTTCAAAGCACTTTTGGCACTTCAAGGCGATGGGGGTCAGTGCAACGGGTCGATAGTCATTGAAAGTGGATGGTGAGGGCTTCTTTGGAACGGGTATGATGGTGGTGGCTTTGAAGCACGACGGAACAACAGCCTGACTCAGAGAAGCGTTGAAAATGTCCGTGAAGACATCTTTGAGCTCCTCTGCACAGTCCTTCAGCACACGGCCAGGAATGTTGTCTGGACCTGCAGCCTTGCGGGTGTTGATCTTGGAGAAGGTTCTCTTCACGCTGGCTGCAGTCAGGCACAGGGTCTGGTCATTGGGAGGGGGGGGGGGGTGGTCTTCTGTGGGGGCGTGCTGTTGTGTGCTTCAAACCTGGCAAAGAAGCTGTTGAGGTCGTTCAGCAGAGAGGTGTTGCTGTCACAGGTCTGTGGCTTGGGTTTGTAGTCCGTGATGGTCTGGATACCACGCCACAGGCTCTGCGCGTCTCTGCTGTCCTTGAAGTGTCCGGTTATTTTTAGTGTGTAGCTGCGTTTGGCTTCCCTGATGCCACGGGACAGGTTGGCCCTCGCTGTTCTCAGGCAGGCTGCGTCCCCAGCTCTGAAGGCGGTGTTCCTGGCCCTCAGTAGCCCGCGTACCTCTCCTGTCAGCCATGGCTTCTGGTTAGCCCGGGTGGTGATGGTTCTGGTGGTGGTGACATCAGCAGTGCATTTGCTAATGTAGGAGGTAACAGTGTCAGAATACTCCTCAATGTCTATGTGGTTGTTGTAGGTGGCTGCCTGCTTAAACATCTCCCAGTCTGTGGTGTCAAAGCAGTCTTGTAGTGCAGCAGAGGCCCCCTCTGGCCACACACATACCTGCTTCAGAACTGGTTTGGTGACTTTAACCCTGGGTCTGTAAGCTGGCATTAGCATTACACTGATATGGTCAGAGTGGCCGATGTGGGGGAGGGGTGAAGCTTTGTAAGCACCTTTAACTGATGTTTAAATCATATCCAGAATGTTACCTTCTCTTGTGGGAAAGGTCACGTGTTGGTGGAAGTGGGGTAAAACCGTCTTGAGATTTGTATGGTTAAAATCCACAGCGATGATGAAAAATCCGTCTGGGTGGGCTGTCTGTTGCTCACTGATGGCGTTGTAAAGTTCCCAAAGTGCGTCGATTCTATCAGCGTTGTTGGTGGTGGGGGGAATATACACAGCGACCGGCAGGGTGAATTGAATTGTTCAAGCTGAACGGCGGAGTCTGTGATGTGTTTGTTCAGCCATGTCTCTGTGAAAATGTACGCACAGCCGTCCCTCACGTCGCGGTGCGCAGCTCTCAGTAGCTCTATATGGTCCATTTTATTGTCCAGAGATCTTACATTTGCCAGTAGAAAAGTTGGAAGAGCGGACCTGTGTGGTATTTTAGCCAGTCTCGCTCTTATGACAACACTTAAGACAACACAACAACACAAAAACAAGACGACACAACAAGACAACACAAAAACAAGACGACAACAACAAGACAAGACGACACAACAAGACAACACAACAACTACGACAACACAAAAACAAGACGACAACAACTACGACAAGACGACACAACAACACAACAACTACGACAACACAAAAACAAGATGACAACAACTACGACAAGACAACACAACAACTACGACAACACAAAAACAAGACGACAACAACTACGACAAGACAACACAACAACTACGACAACACAAAAACAAGACGACAACAACTACGACAAGACAACACAACAACTACGACAGCAAGACGACACAACAACTACGACAAGACGACACAACAACTACGACAGCAAGACGACACAACAACTACGACAAGACGATACAACAAGACAACACAACAACTACGACAAGACGACAACAACAAGACAACAAAACAACTACGACAACAAGACAACACAACAACTACGACAACAAGACGACAACAACTACGACAACAAGACAACAACAACTACGACAACAAGACAACACAACAACTACGACAACAAGACAAGACAACAACAAGATGACAACAACTATGACAACAACAACTACGACAACAACTACGACAACAAAACAACAACACAACAACTGAGATGATCAAGATGTTCACAGACAACCAATCAGATCCATCGTTCTCACCTGACAGTTCATACTCGTTCTGATGTATCTTTTAGTCAGATCTCCGCCTGATGAACGCCATGCCCACTCTTCATCGCCCTCTTCCTCCTCCTCGTACTCCTCCTCCTCCTCGTACTCCTCCTCCTCCTCGTACTCCTCTGAAGGCTGCACAGCGATATCACTCATCTGGCACTGCACAGCCGACAGCTGTGATTGGCTGTCAAAGGAATATAAAAACAAATCAACAAATGTTGAGTGGGTAGGCAGAGGAAAATCAAGAAAAGTCCACACAAACATGGTCTGTCAGTCCTGCAGTCCTTCCTCCGTCCAGCAGGGGGACAGAGTGAATATAACTTTACTGAGTTCAGGATGGGACGTTTCAGACAGGATGGTTTCAGACAGGACCGTGACCGGACAGGACCGTGACCGTTACAGACAGGATGGTTACAGACAGGACAGTGACAGACAGGATGGTTACAGACGGGATGGTTACAGACAGGATGGTTACAGACGGGATGGTTACAGATGGGACGGTGACAGACAGGATGGTTACAGACAGGATGGTTACAGACGGGACGGTGACAGACAGGATGGTTACAGACGGGATGGTTACAGACAGGATGGTTACAGACAGGACAGTGACAGACAGGACGGTTACAGATGGGATGGTTACACATGGGATGGTTACAGACGGGTTGGTTACAGATGGGATGGTTACAGACGGGACAGTGACAGACAGGATGGTTACAGACAGGATGGTTTCAGACAAGACAGTGACAGACAGGATGGTTACAGACGGGATGGTTTCAGACGGGACGGTGACAGACAGGATGGTTACAAACGGGATGGTTACAGACAGGATGGTTACAGACGGGATGGTTACAGATGGGATGGTTACAGACGGGATGGTTACAGATGGGATGGTTACACATGGGATGGTTACACATGGGATGGTTACAGATGGGATGGTTACAGATGGGATGGTTACAGACGGGATGGTTACAGACGGGATGGTTACACATGGGATGGTTACACATGGGATGGTTACACATGGGATGGTTACAGACAGACAGGATAGTTACAGACAGGATGGTTACACATGGGATGGTTACAGACGGGTTGGTTACAGACGGGATGGTTACAGATGGGATGGTTACAGACGGGACAGTGACAGACAGGATGGTTACAGACAGGATGGTTTCAGACAAGACAGTGACAGACAGGATGGTTACAGACGGGATGGTTTCAGACGGGACGGTGACAGACAGGATGGTTACAAACGGGATGGTTACAGACAGGATGGTTACAGACGGGATGGTTACACATGGGATGGTTACAGACGGGATGGTTACAGACGGGTTGGTTACAGACGGGATGGTTACAGATGGGATGGTTACAGACGGGACGGTTACATATGGGATGGTTACACATGGGATGGTTACAGATGGGATGGTTACAGATGGGATGGTTACACATGGGATGGTAACAGACAGACAGGATAGTTACAGACAGGACGGTTACAGATGGGATGGTTACAGACGGGACGGTTACAGATGGGATGGTAACAGACGGGATGGTTACAGACGGGATGGTTACAGACGGGACGGTTACAGATGGGATGGTAACAGACGGGATGGTAACAGACGGGATGGTTACAGACGGGATGGTTACAGACGGGACGGTTACAGATGGGATGGTTACAGACAGACAGGATAGTTACAGACAGGACAGACTCTCTCTCTTTCTCTCTCTCTTCGTCTCTCTCTGTCTCTCTTCCTCTTCCTCTCTGTCTCTGTCTCTCTCTGTCTCTCTTCCTCTCTCTCTCTGTCTCTCTCTCTTCCTCTCTCTGTCTGTCTGTCTCTCTCTGTCTCTCTCCCTCTCTCTCTCTGTCTCCCTTCCTCTCTCTCTCCCTCTCTCTCTCTCTCCCTCTCTCTCTGTCTCTCTTCCTCTCTCTCTCTCTCTTCCTCTCTCTGTGTCTCTCTCTCTGTCCCTCTCTCTCTCTCTGTCTTTCTCTCTCTGTCTCTCTTCCTCTCTCTCTGCCCCCTCTCTCTCTCTCTGTCTCTCTCTCGCTCCCTCTGTCCCCCCCTCTCTCTCTCTCTCTGTCTCTCTTCCTCTGTCTGTCTGTCTGTCTCTCTCTCTCTCTCTCTCTCTGTCTCTCTCTCTCTCTGTCTCTCTCTCTGTCTCTCTCCGTCTCTCTGTCTCTCTCTGTCTCTCTTCTCTCTCTGTCTCTGTCTCTCTTCCTCTCTTTCTTAACATGACAGATCAACAATCTATGTTTCCAAAACATTTTGAACAACAAATGATAACAATATATACAGTAAACAAATATGAATAAAAGACATTAACAATAACGTGAATTATTTTTACAGTGTATTTCTATGAAACATTAAGTGTATTTTGTCTCATATTTAGCAGCTCGTACTGCACACAGACTTTTCTCTCCACAGAGATAGAGCAGCTTCTGAGGATCAGTCAGGATATTTATTATAAATGTAATCAAAGAGAGTCTCTCTTAAATCTTTATCCATGTCACAGTGTAGGAGGAAGTGAGATTCTGATGGCAGAGTGAACACAGCCTGGCCTCTCTGGGTAACCAGTTCTGTCTGTGACGGCCTGTTTCTATGGTCAGACTGTGTCCACTCAGTCTGTACATCGTCATGGTTTTCTTTAGTTTCACATCCCTCACTGTGCTCAGCTACTCTGCCAGCTTGAACTCTCTGTTTAGGTTTAGGTGATTTGGTGTCTGGCCGTGTGTCTGTGGACTCTCGATGTTTCTACACAGCTCTGCATGCAGGGCGTCCAGCTGCTGTTTTTCCCATTTGGGGAAGTCTTGGTTGGTTAATGGGCCCCATACTTCACTACCATATAAAATGATTGGTTCTATTATTGAATTGAGAATTTTGAGCCAGGTCCTAATTGGAATGTCAATCTGAATTTTTCTTTTGATGGCATAAAAAGTGTTTCTTCCTCTCTCTTTCAGCTCATTCACAGCCATGCCAACATGTCCAGTGGGAGTGATGACTAAGCCTAAATATGAGTATTGTTTGGTGTACTGGATTTCTATGTTTCCTAATGTGAATGTGTTTCTCTGAGAGTTGGATCTGCTTTGGAAGGTCATTATTTTGGTCTTGTTCATATTGACAGTAAGTGCCCATGTTTGGCTGAACTTGTGGAGGATGTCCAGGCTCTGCTGTAAACCCTCTGGAGAGGGAGACAGGAGAACCAGGTCATCAGCAAACATCAGACATTTGACCTCTGTGTCCTGCAGGGTCACACCAGGAGCTGTGGACTTCTGCAGTTCTTCTGTGAATGTGTTCTTATGTTAAAAGAGGGTTGGGCTCATGATGCAGCCCTGTTTCACCCCACGGTACTGCCTGAAATAATTTGTTCTTTTGTTTCCAGTTTGAATTGCACATCTGTTATTTACATACATAATTTTAATTACAAGTTTTCCCCCCTATAACACTTTCTAGTCATTTGTAAAAGAGTCCTTCATGCCAAATGGAGTCAAAGGCCTTCCTGAAGTCTACAAAACAAGCATACATTTTCTTTTTATACATTTTCGTTAAGATATGATTTCATATCTGATTTCAGACTCTATTCCCCTCTCTCTGATTTCAGATTCTATCCCCCTCTCTGATTTCAGACTCTATCCCCTCTCTGATTTCAAACTCTATCCCACCCCCTCTCTGATTTCAGACTTATTCCCCCTCTTCTGATTTTAGACTCTACCCCCTCTCTGATGTCAGACTCTATCCCCCTCTGATTCAGACCTATCCCTCTCTGAATTCAGACTCTATCCCCC